CTCACTAGGTCCAACCCTGTGCCTGGATTCCGCGCCTGAGTCCGGCTGACTGAGACCTCCTGTGCAACCCCGCTTCACCAGCCGCTGGTTTCGCCCCTTACCGGTCAGGCTGAAGAATTTGTTGTTAACGTACTTCCGAAAAGTTCAATTTTCCGTATTCTGGCTGTGTTTTCTGTTGCTAATATTTAGTTGTCTCTAAACTTGGTTGTGTGAGAAGGCACGGCACATCCACCTATCCCTCCATCTTGGCGGAAGTCTCTGGACAAATAAGTTTTGAAAGCGTATGACATGCACATGTGGCCTGGGGTTCCCAAACCCAGAAGGAAAAGAGAGTCCTAAGGAGAATATTCCAGACCCACCCCAGACTTCTGCGGAGCCCTGGGCATTTACCTCCCAGGCGGCTGGACTCACTGACCTGCAGTTTTCAGAGAGCAGAGCTTCCCCAGCCTCTCTCCTCAGCAGCCCACACACCCAGCCCTGCAGCTGCTGCTCGGCCGCTGCCGGCCGCTGCCCACCCACAAGGCTGCCAGGTTCCATGCACCATCACTCCACCGCCAGGGCATGCTCAAAACCATTTTTGGAGAAAGAGGTTTTTAATATCATATTAGCTTTAAAATTGCACAAAGAAGTGTTTTTTGACAATGAAGTGCTTTACAAAGGTAATATATTATTAGGCTTAAAAGGCAGGTGTGTGTGCCATAAAACGCAGCAACACCTTTGATGTAATGCTTCCAGCACGAGGTTGTGCCTCTGGACTAGCTCTCTACCTGCCTCTAATTACAAGTCGCATAAAGGCTACAAACACATTTAATTTTGGTATCTTAAAATATAAACACTGTCTCCATTTTTATGAGAAACAACTCCATTGGGAAGAAAAGGCCACAAGCTTGTCAGCTCAGGCCTCAGAGCTCCCTGGGTCCCCCCCCCCAACCCTGCTCCTCCAGGCCCCTTCCCTTTATCACCCACGTGCACACCCCTCAACACAAAACCCACTTGATGTGTTTATTTCACCTTCCTTGAAGTTCAGCTCCTGGGAAACCTTATAACTCAAGAGAATCTGCCCAATTTAGTTGGACAGGTGAGTTCGGATGCTTGTGGCACTGTGGCCTGGGGTTCTCACCCCCGGCAAGGCAAGAGAGCCCTATGGGGGAACGCCAGACCAAATGATGGAAGTCCCACCAAAAGCATCTGGGTCTTTCTATCTCAAGACTTATTGAAGCAGATACGCCTGGCAGAACCCCACAGAGGCTCTGGATTTGGAGTGGACAAGTTTGTCAGATGGTGGGAGAAGAGGACTTGAGAAATGACCTTAAGAAACTGGAGGGTAGAAGAGAATCTATAACCCTGACATTGGCAACAGTTCTCCTGAGTGGCACAAGGATCAGGACATTGGAACCAGAGAAAAGGAAATATAACCTAGTATGTCACTTGGCTCTGCAGTAGATAGCTGCAAAATCTAAAGTAATAAACACCATTACACGGTTTAAACTTTATAGCCAACCTACAAAGTACAAAAGGCTTAATTGTAGTGAGATAACAGTGCACACATATTACCAGCCTCGGCAACACAGAAGTATGGCTGAAAGAGCTGGGGGGTGGCGAGATGGGGGCGGGGGAGCTGTTAAATACCCTCATCTTAGAGGGAGGAGGATCCAGAGATATGATTTAATCGGTAGAACAGAGAAACAGAGATTTACGTGTATCATTTAAAGTCACAACGGTACCCAATAAAGTAACTAAAATAGCAACTCAGTAATAGTAAGCTGGAAAGTAGAGAGGCGATGTAACTTGGTCCACCTTCTGGGCCCTCCACACTCCAGAACGGTTCTTCGCCAGTGTCTGGCTGTGCCAAGCACTGTGCAAAGGAAGAAGATTACATACCTAGGTGGTGGCAGAACCAGAAAAGAAACTAATTTTCTAGCGTTAAAATTATCTGGAAAAGTTATTACTAAAATTTCCAGGCCATGCTGGAAAACTTCCCTCATGCTCTTTCTTTAAGACACACCAGCATTTCTTAAAGAGAACCCTCCTCACTTCCACACCTGTAACCGGTGCTGGCCCTGTCTCCGACGTGACACCCTGGGACAAAGGGCACGCTCCATCCTGCACACAGCTGTAAGGAGGGCATCGGCCCTCTGGCCAGGTGTCTTTCAAAGCGGGACAGAAAAGTTAAGACACCAACATGGAAGATACAAAACCAGTCTGCCTGCTCACCTCAGCCTAGAAGCTGAATCCACCAGCTGCCAGGGGACGGTCCAGGGCCACACACATGGAGGTGTCAGGCTGCTGCTCCAGGACGCACATGGAGGGCCCAGCTCTGTGTGAGGCCACCCAATGCGCAGACTGAGCGTGGACCAATGAGCCCACTCAGTGACCACCTCTTCACAACTTCACAAGAATTTTTAGTCAACAGAAATGATCATTTCTAGTAAAAAATAATTCTTTAAAAATAAAATGTAACCAAAACTAGTACTTGTAAAAAGCATTTAAATAATTTCAACATAATTTGACTAGCAGCCAGGGTGGAGGCATAGGTAGCCACACTGCGGCTCCTCGCACAACCAAAAGGACAACAAATTTAAAAACAAAAAACAACTAGAACTGCCAGAAAATGAACTGTATGCAAGTCCGACAACCAAGGAGTTATACAAGAAACATTCATCTAGACCGGTAGGAGGAACTGGAAAGGGAAATGGGGGTGGGGGAGTAGGGGGGCCAGGACTCATAACAAGGTGGCAGCTGGTGGGCAGTCCCACATCTGTGTGCAGATCAACCAGGAGGAATAACTGGGGAGTGAGACAGACCACTCAACCCAGGGTTCCAGCATGGGGAAATAAAGCCTCAGAACCTCTTGCCGTAAAAACCTGTGGGGGTTGCAGTGGTGGGAGAAACTCGAGCCTCACAGGACAGTTCATGGGAAGGACCCATGGGTTCCTAGAACATACACAAATCCATTCACCCAGGAATCAGCACCAGAAGAGCCCAATTTGCTTCTGGGTAGTGGTGCCAGGCCACTGACAGCCATCAAGAGCCAAGCAAGCAGGACTGTTCCCCCTCAGACCCTCCCCACCACACAGCACCACAATGCAGTGACATCAGTTGCCCTGCGAATATCTAAGGCTCTGCCCCTTACAACGTAACAGGTGTGCTGAGAGAAATAAACATGGCCCAAATGAAAGAACAAAACTCCAGAAAAAGAGCTAAGCAATAAGGAGACAGACAACCTACTAGATGCAGTGTTCAAAACACTGGTAATCAGGATGCTTACAGAAATGACTGAGTACAGATGCAAAATAGAGGAAGAAGTGAAAGCTATGCAAAGTGAAATAAAGAAAAATATACAGGGAACCAACAGTGAAGGGAAGGAAACTGGGACTCAAATCAATGTTTTGGAACAGAAGAATGAAACAAACATTCAACTAGAACAGAATGAAGAAACAAGAATTCAAAAAGTGAGGAGAGCCCGGGCAGGTGTAGCTGGGTGGACTGAGTATGGGCCTGCGAACCAGAGGATCGTGGTTCCATTCCCAGTTGGGGCACATGCCTGGGATGCAGGTCAGTTCCCAGTTGGGGACACATGGGAGGCAACCATACATTGATGTTTCTCTCCCTCTCTCCTTCCCTTCCCCTCTAAACATAAATAAATAAAATCTTTTTTTAAAAAGTGAGGACAGGCTTAGGAATCTCTAAGACTAAACATTTCAACATCCGAATCATAGGGGTGCCAGAAGGAGAAGAGGAAGAACAAGAAATTGAAAACTTATTTGAAAAAATAACGAAAGAAAACTTCCCCAATCTGGCAAAGGCAACAGACTTCCAGAAAGTCCAGGAGGCTCAGAGAGTCCCAAAGATATCGGATCCAAGGAAGAACACATTAAGGCACATAATTATATTACCCAAGATTCAAAATAAGGAGAGAATCTTTTTCTTAAATATTTGATTTATTTTTAGAGAGAGGGGAAGGGAGGGAGAAAAAGAGGGAGAGAAACATCAGTGTGTGGTTGCCTCTTGAGTGCTCCCCACTGGGGACCTGGACAGCAACCCAGGAATGTTCCTGACTGGGAATTGAACCTGCAACTTGAGAATCTTAAAAGCATCAAGAGGAAAGCAGACAGTTACCTACAAAGCAGTTCCCATAAGACTATCAGCTGATTTCTCAAAAGAAATCTTGCAGGCAGGAAGGGGCTGGGAAGAAGTATTCAGAGTCATGAAAGGCAAGGACCTACATCCAAGATGACTATTCAGCAAAGCTATCATTTATAATAGAAGGGCAGATAAAGTGCTTCCCAGCAAGGTAAAGTTAAAGGAGTTCATCATTACCAAGACCTTATAATATGGAATGTTAAAGGGACTTATCTAGGAAAAAGAAGATCAAAACTATGAACAGTAAAATGAAAACAAACTCAACTACCAAATGAACATAAAAAACAAAAGCAAAGCAAACAACTTGAACAGGAACAGAATCACAGAAATAGAGACCATGTGGAGGGTTATCAGGGGTAGTGAGGGAAGAATGGGAGGAAAGGCACAGGGAATAAGAAGCATAATTTGTAGGTACAAAATAGGCAGGGGGAGCCCTGGCTGGTGTGGCTCAGTGGACTGAGTGCCGGCCTGTGAACCAAGGGGTCACTGATTTGATTCCTAGTCAGGGCACATGCCTGTGTTGTGGGCCAGGTCCCCAGTAGGGGGCAAGTGAGAGGCAACCACACATTGATGTTTCTCTCCCTCTGTCTCCCCTCTCTCTAAAAATAAAGAAATAAAACCTTAAAAAAGAAAAAAGACAGGGGGAGGTCAAGCATAGTATAGGAAAAGGAGAAGCTGAAGAACTTATACTTACAACCCATGGACATGAACTAAGGGGTGGGGGGCGAACACTGATAGGAGAGGGGGTGCAGCATAGGGGGTGTAAAGGGGAGAAAAAAACGGGACAACTGTAATAGCATAATCATTAAAATATACTGAAGTCTATGAAAATTTCAGTGTAATTTACTGTTGCTTACCCCATTTTCAGCACGTTTTTCCCCAGGTACATTTATTATATTTCTCTGGGTCCTTTGCTCTTGGGTCTGACGGCCACCTAAGAAAATGAGAAGACCAAAGTTACTGAAAGACATACTATTTTTTACCCATTTTTTCACTTACTCGAATACTTATTGAACACAAGTATAACCACCAGTATGAACAATTCAAGACTCAGTACAGCTGAAGAATGTTTCACAATTAATCTGTGTGTGTATATATGTATATATGAACAGTTGCTTAAATAAAATTTTTTCATCTAACACTCTATTTCAGAATCTTAAAACTGACTTATATCTACAGGTTTCTAACACTTAAAAATGGTCAAAATGGTAAATTTTATGCTCTGTGTATTTTACCACATGAAATTTGTTATTAAAATTTTTAAAGGGTTTTTATGTGTTGGAAGACTAAAATAGAACTTGACATCCATAATGAAAAACCTAATGCACAAAAGTGATCCTTACTAGCATTTTTTTAAAAAGGGGGTTCACATTAGCCCTGGCTGGTATGGCTCAGTGGATTGGGTGCTGGCCTGTGAACCCAGGAGACACTGGTTCGATTCCCAGTCAGGGCACATGCCAGGGTTGCAGGCCAGGTCCCCAGCAGGAGGCGTGCAGGATGGGATCGCACATGGATGTTTCTCTCCCTCTCCTCCTCCCTTTCCTTCTCTAGAAAGAAATAAAATCTTTAAAAATGGCTTCACATTAAACTAAAAAAAGTTCTCTGCATGTCCTGTCATATTTTCACAAAAAGGTACCAGGTGGGTCTGCAGTCGCAGGCACGACTGTCAACGGGCATCAAAGGCCTGCACCCCTCCTCTCGCCTCCCCAGCTTTTCTGCGATGCCACTCTGAGAACTGTGGCACTCGCCCACGCCAGCTTTATTACCTAGAGCACGTGACTTCCAAGGGCCATGAGCCCAGTGCTGAAGCCAGACAGGCGCGCACACTGTTTCTACGTCCTCCTGCTGCTTTGAAAAACCTGAAGGAAGATGGTGCCGTGGACGTGCCGTCTCCCTGGAACCGCGCGTTCTCAGAGAGTGATGGTGCCCCAAGGGGCACGGGCCGGTTCTTGGGAGACGAAACACCATTCTTTGTGCACAAAGCAAAGGCACACACAGTGCATAAACAGGTGTACAGTGAACTGGCAGCAGAAGATGGAGGGACAAGAACAGAGTCCCCCAGAAACAGGGTCACGGGGGGGGGGGGATAATGAAAATATACAACTGATTGATGCTTCTCTTGCACAGCGATATTTTACTCCTTTTGTTCCTTCCCCTCTAAGAATAAAAAACCCTTTTTTAAATTGAATTCTTTATTTTTTTAAATATTTTTTAATTTTATTGATTATGCCATTATATTTGTTCTATTTCCCCCCTTCATTCCCCCCTGCACACCCCTCCCCCACCATTCCCCCATTTAGTTCATGAACACGTGTCTCAAGTTCTGTATTTCCCCTACTATTCTTACTCTCCCCCTATCTATTTTCTACCTACTGTCTATGCTACTTATTTTCTGCACCTTCTCCCCCCTTCTCCCTCTCCCACTCCCCTGTTGCTAACCCTCCATGTGATCTTCATTTTGATGGTTCACTCCTGATCTAGCTGTCCTCTTAGTTTGCTTTTGTTTTAGGTGTGGTTGTTAATACCTGTGAGTTTGCTGTCCTTTCACTGTTCATATTCCTTATCTTCTTTTTCTTAGGTAAGTCCCTTTAACATTTCATATAATAAGGGCTTGGTGATGATGAACTCCTTGAATTTGGTCTTATCTGAGAAGCACTTTATCTGTCCTTCCATTCTAAATGAAAGCTTTGCTGGATAGAGCAATCTTGGTTGTAGGTCTTTGGTTTTCATGACTTGGAATACTTCTTTCCAGCCCCTTCTTGCCTGGAAGGTCTCTTTTGAGAAATCAGCTGACAGTCTGATAGGAACTCCTTTGTAGGTGACTGTCCCCTTATGTCTTGCTGCTTCTAGAATTCTTTCCTTCATTTTAATCTTGGCTACTGTAATGATGATGTGCCTTGGTGTGTTCCTTCTTGGGTCCAACTTCTTTGGGACTCTCTGAACTTCCTGGATTTCCTGGAAGTCTATTTCCTTTGCCAGAATGGGGAAGTTCTCTTTTATTATTTGTTCAAATAAGGTTTCTACTTGTGACTATTCCTCTTCCCCTTCTGGTACCCCTATAATTCGGATGTTGGAACATTTAAAGATGTCCTGGAGGTTCCTAAGACTTTCCTCATTTTATTGAATTCTTGTTTCTTCATATTTTTGTTTGGTCATTTTTTCCTTCCTTCTGGTCTGCTCCCTTGGTTTGAGTCCCAGTTTCCTTTCCATTACTATTGGTTTCCTGTGCATTACCATTCATTTCAATTAGTTCAGCCTTCATATGTTCCTCTAATTTGTGACTAAAATCAACCAGTTCTGTGAGCTTCCTGATCACCAGTGTTTTGAACTATGCATCTGAAAGTTTGGCTATTTCTTCATTGCTTAGATTTATTGGCTCTGGGGCTCTGAGTTGTTCTTGAGCCATGTTTTGATCTGTTTGTGCCTGTTAAGTATGAGGAGAGGTGCCTTAAGTGTTCACCAGGGTGGGGCCACCCAGGTCGCTGGTTTGTGACGCTATATGTGGGGGCGGGGTCAGAGTGGGAACAATGGCGGTCCTCTCTGCTCGCCCAGTCTGCTCACCGCTAGCCACCGCTCGCCCCCGCCTGTTTATCTGAGCGCAAATGTGCGAGCCCGCCTTGCGCCACCAGGGCCTGCACGATCTGTCTCAATGCTTGCCTCTTCACTGGTTTATCTGCACGCAAATGCGCGACCGACCGCAGACAGCCAGCCATGCCCTGCCTTCCCTGGGTTCTGCCCGTAGCTACCCCACACCTGGGATCCTCGCCCTCAGCTGCCTGCGCACAGCCCGGGTCGGGGGATTTTTTTTGCCCGACCCGCTCCACTGCTGGCTTCGCCCCTCTCACTGGTTTAGCTGAGCGGTTCATTGTTTTTGGACTCCATATTGTTAGATTTTCTGTATGGTTTGGTCGCGTTTATTACTGTTAAAACTTTGTTTTTAGATTTGATTGTACAAGGACGCAAAGTGTTTCCACCTACACCTCCATCTTGGTGGAAGTCCAAATAAAACCTTTTAACAAAAGAATGTGCATAAGCACAGGGAGAGAGGCGGAGCAGAGGGCAGAGCATCACAGGTGGGGACGCGTTCTGAGTCAGGGCAGGAGAGAGTGACTACAAAAGGGAGGTTGTGGTGTGAGAGGGAGAAGGAACAACCACCCCCCACCTGCCAGCAGGGCTGCCACCGATGACCCAGCAAGCGCGAGTGAAGATGCAGGGAAGGAGCTCTTGTGCAGGCTGGTGGGCGTGCAGAGCAGTGTGGAGCATCCTCCAAAAATAAAAAACGGAACTGTCCTATGGCCCAGCAATGTCCACTTCTAGGTATTTATCCAAAGAAATCCAAAACACTAATTTGAAAGAACACAAGCATGCCTATGTTCACTGCAGTGTTATTTACAATAACGAAGATCTGGAAGCAACCTACGTGTCCATCAGTAGATGAGTTGAAAAAGAAAATGTGGTCCATATGTACAATGGAATATCACTTAGCCACATGAAAACTGAAACCTTATCATTTGCAACAGCATGGGTGAACTTAGAGAGTATTATGCTAAGTAAAGTAAGTCAAAGAAAAACAAATACCATGTGATTTCACTTATATGTAGAATCTAAAGAACAAAATAAATGAACCAGAAATACACCCCTCAGAAACAGACTCATAGACACAGAGAACCATCTGAAGGCTGCCAGATGGGAAGGGGGTTAGGAGGCTGGGTGAAAGACAGAAGGGATTAAGTAGTGCAAATCACCGGTTACAAAACAGTCAGAGCATAGGGAATATGGCCAATAATACTGCAGTCACTATATATGGTGCCAGGTGGGTACTAGAAGATAGCTTCGTAAATTACATACTTGCGTTATGACTCCAGACAGGTCTCTTAAGTATCCCTATCACTTCTAAACTTCATGAAGTGAGATCAAAAAACCCTTCCCCACCCCCCACCACAGGACATTAGGGTTATGTCACACATTATACTGATAAAACTGAAAGCACAACTACACACAGCTAGGGAAGGGAGGCCAAACACATTGGGAGAGCTCAGCAGGGAGGTAACAGATTCTTAGCACAAGAGCAGCATGTTAGGGTCGGCCAGTGAATCCTTGGCAGAGGATTTGGTGCAGAGGCAGGGAAGGCCCTTGTCAAAGGTGCTCGTGGATGAAGAGCTGGACCTGGAGACGTGGTCTCCTGACCCCGGGTGACCAGCAGCCAGAGGAATAAAAGCCAGAAGAGACAGTGTGCTGTAAACACACAGCACTATGACAGGAATGGCGGCTGTGGAGATGATCTCAAAGTAGAGAATGACTCATCCTAGGGGCAGAAAGTCCTTTAATAGAAAATACAAATAAAGAGAGATAACTTGCATAAAGAAATTTTTTACAGCCCTGGCTGGTGTGGCTCAGTGGATTGTGTGCCGGCCTGTGAACCAAAGGGTCACCAGTTCAATTCACAAACAGGGCACACGCCCAGGTTGTGGGCCAGGTCCCCAGTAGGGGGCGCGTGAGAGGCCACCACACACTGCTGCTTCTCTACCTCTCTTTCTCCCTCCCTTCCACTCTAAAAACAAAGAAAATCTTTATTTAAAAAAATCTCTTTTACAGAAGAATATCCTTTCGTTGTTTATTTTTTTAAATACCAGAAGTAAGCCACAACCACTGTTATATAACAAATTAAGGGTCTCTCCACTGTACAGCATATATGCTTTAGAAAAAAAGATGTTTTGTTTAAATTTTAATTTAAAAAGAGGCAGTATATTCCCATGGTTCAAAATGCGAAAGGCACAAACAGATGCACAATACGCAGCTCTCCCTTCCTTCCTGGTCTGGCAGCGCCCCACTCCCACTCACAATGGTACCAGCGCCTCAGTCTCCAAAGATGCTGCATCCATGACCAGCCAACACGGACATACACAGTCCCCCTTTCGTCCCTGTCGCACAGACAGTAGCAGGTATGCATACTGTTCCCCACAGTGCTTATTCACGCAGCGTGTCCGGGAGGTGGTCAGGGCACAGAGCTGCTTCTCTGCGGCTGCAGAGCAGCCCACTGTTTGATGCACCACGGGAGCCCAACGCCCCGGCAGGCAGGTAGGCTGCCCCTGTCAGAAATGCTGCCCGAGTAACACTGCGTCCACGCCAGCCTGTGTGTGTAGGCACAGCTTCAGGGTAAGTTCTCAAAAGTGAGCTGGCTGGGTGAAAGGTTTCATGCGTTTGTAAGCAGAACGGATATTACCAAATCGCCCTCTGCAAAAGCTGCCGACTGGCACTCCCACGGCCGCGTGGATGCATGCCTGTCACTCAGCTTCCTTGTGGACAGTTATTAAATGCTCTCTCTCGTTTTGCCAGTGTGGCAGGTGGAGTAGAGGATCAGTGTTTTCTTTATTAGGAGTAAGGCTGAACATCTTTTCATGCAACCTACGGCTACGGATACTTCCTTTTCTGAGAACTGCATATTTGTACAGGGTTTTTTCGTTTTGTTTTTTTTTTTTACTGGTTCTTTTCTGTGTGTGTGTGCGTGTGTGAATTTTTAGGAACCCTTTACAGTGGTACCTAGGTACTCCTCGTTATTGGTTCCAGAACTTGTGTCGAGTGCCAAAACCAATGAGTGGCAAATGATGAAGCATTTTTCTCTTGTGGGGCAGCGTTGTGACTAATGTGAGTTCTACCGAGTGTCATGAGTCCCAAGCAAGCACTGAGTGTGGAAACATTTTTTTCTCATCAAAATGCAACGACTACAGGGTTTGATGAGTCCTGAAGCCAACGAGTACCAAAGTATGACTGCTCATATAACAGAAATGAGCCCTTGGCTAATGTGCTATAAATGCTGTTTCCCAGTTTATCATTTACGTTTTGAAATTGCTTAGGGTGGACACTGCCATGCACACAGTTGTTTTTTTTTTAAATAATTTGGTTTGTCTTATCTTTTATGGCTTAGCATTATACTTAGAAAGGTCTTGTGCACCATAAAAATTTTTTTAAAAGACTACTTCTCAAAATTCTAATCTTTTCATGATTTTATTTACTTATTTATTTATTTTAAATACAAAGCCCAGCCCTAGGCTCTGGGATGGAGTTTTGCTTTGTCTTTTTTTTTTATAACTACTATTTTTTATTTTTAAGGTTTTATTTACTCATTTTTAGAGAGAGGGAAAGAGAAGTATCAATGTGTGGTTGCCTCTCACACATCCCATACTGGGTACCTGGCCTGCAACCCAGGCATGTGCCCTGACTGGGAATCGAACTACGATACTCTGGTTCGTAGGCCTGCGCTCAATCCACTGAGCTACACCAGCCAGGGCGGTTTTATTTATTCTTTAAAAAATTGTTTTCTTTATTAATTTGAGAGACAGAGAGGAAAAAATGGCAACTTGTCGTTCCAAATGTTCATGCATCATTGGTTGACTCTTCTATGTGCCCCGACTGAGGACTGAACCACCAACCACGGTGTCTCAAGACAGTGCTCTGACCAATGAGCTACCCAGACAGAGCATGGCTGTATTGATTCTTACAGTCTAGGTATCTGACCCATCTGGTAGTTGTTGAAAGTGATCCCTTTAAAGAGCAAGTGCCCTCACACGGGTCTGAGTGCATCACTGAACAGATCACAGGCCTGAGGAGGGAGTGGGGGCCGATGCCCAAGGAGCAGGAGGCCACTGTTGGCCGCAGTGACAGTGAGACACCAACTCTCCTGCTCACCACTGTGAGTAAAGGGAGAAAGAGCATCAATACTTTAATACTTACTCCTACTTTTTAAAGTTAACTTTTACAGCAGAAATGAACACATGGGGGAAAAGCACTTATCTACCTTGTTCACTGCTCTCAGTTGGGGAATCCTCATGTCGAAGAAAGAATTTCACTTCTTCCCTCCGTGGCCCCCACTTCTGCAGGTGTTCATACATCATATGATCGAAGGGTATGGGACGCTCTAGAAAAAAACACAACTCGTTTCTTCAGAAACAAACCAACTACTTTTACCAAGAGTAAAAATAAATTTAAATATACACATTTACTAGAATCCAGGAACACTACAAGCACGAATTCTAACTTGAATGAAGTAAAAGCAGGAGTCTGAATGGGAAGTGACTCAGGCGACCACTACACAGAAGTAAACATAAAAGCAACTGTCCAGCATCACACAGGAAACACTGAGAAACGCCCTTCACAGCACTTCTCCTGGAGCGGTGAGCCTCCCCACTGTTCCAAGGGACACAGCGACAAATCAGTCCGCCCCCGCTGTTCGTTAAAATGCTACACGTGGTAACAGCACATGGAAAGGAAGAATGGCACATTCGGTGAGTCCACACAGACACTTGAACGTTTGCAGCAGCATCATTCATAGTGGCCAATAAGTTCAGCCCTAATGTCCAGTAGCTGATGAATGAGGGAATAAGATGTGGTGTATCAGACAATGGCTATTATTCAGCCAAGAAGCAGGAATTAAGTACTAATACATTCTTACAGCATGGATGAAGCTTGAAAACGTTATTCTAGATGAAAGAAGCTAGACGAAAGAGGCCCCTGAGTGTACGATCCCATTCCTGTGAGGCACCTAGAATACCAACTATGTAAAGCCAGAAAGTAATACGGCAGCTGCCTGGCTCTGGGGGAGGCAGGAATGGGGAGGTACAGAGATTGGTAATGGCTGCACAACACTGTGAATGTCCTAAAAACCACTTAATTTAGACTTTAAAATGGTGATTTTTATGTTGTGTGAATTTTATCTCAAAGGGGGAAAAAAAGGGAAATCTTGAAATATTCCCCCTACTGTGTTTGGAACTGAGGAAGGACCCCTGACTGACATGGCTTAGTGGGATGGGCAATGTCCTGCAAACCAAAAGGTCACCAGTTCAGTTCCCGGTCAGGGCACGTGCCTGGGTTGCGGGCCAGGTCCCAGGCTGGGGGACGGTGAGGGGCAACAATCGATGTTTCTCTCCCTCCCTTCCCTTCTCTCTAAAAATAAATAATAAAATCTTTTCAAAAATTAAAAAAAGAAAATGAGGAAGGATTATCAGCAAACCCTGAAGCTTCTAGAAGTGTCTGGGAGTGGCAGCACAGAACTGAACACTATCTTTTCTCCCTTCTGCTCACTCTGACAACTTGACTTTCATTCAAGAGAAAGAACTTGGTGAGTGCAGTCCTATCATACATTCAAGATGTCCTAGGTAAGTTCAAGGTCTCCACAACAAGGAAAACCCTATTGTTCGCAGACACGCAAACCCCGTATGCTGTGCGGGCAGGTCTGAGGGCACATGAGCGCGAGGACGGACATGGTCGCGCCTCTGCTGAACATGACAGATGAAGAGATGAAGAAGGCAGGGTATATGTTACAACAGAATATTACTTGGCAATAAAAAAAAGAAACCCATCCATGTTGTAACAACATGGATGAACCTAGAGGTTGTTATACTAAGTGAAATAAGTGAGATAAAGACAAATACCATATGATTTCACTTATGTGTGGAATCTAAAAAACAAAATAAATGAACAAAACAGAAATACACTCAGATACAGAGACTAAACTGAGGGTTGCCAGATGGGAGGGGCTTGGGGGCTGGGAGAAGACGGTGAAGGGACTGAACGGACAGATGGCCAGGTACACAATTAGCCCCAGGGACGTGAGGTTCAGTGTGGAAATGCAGTCAGTGCCACCGTAACAACCATATGTGGAGCCGGGCAGGCACTGGACGCGCCGTGACCACTCTGTAAGGAATGAAGTGTCTAATCACCATGTCACATGCCGAAAACCAGTATCATATTGTATGTCAACTATGGTTAAAGCAAATTTTAAGAAGCCGTCACTTGGGCAGTAGACACACTAAAACTAGGACAAGACAGAGCAGGCCGGCACGGCCCCGTGTGAGACGACACTCTAACAGGGAAGTGTCTGCGCTTCTTACCGCATGTTTAATGTGTGCTCAAAGAGTAGATCTAAACAGTTCTCATCACAAGAAGAACAACTCTGTAGCTGGGTGTGGTGATGAATGTGAGCCAGACTTACAGTGGTGGTCATTTTGCAACACAGACAAATATCGAACCATGTTGTACACCTGAAACTAACACAATGTTGTCAACCCTACCTCAATTTGAGAAACAAAGAAAGTAAAAGTCAGGTTTCACAGACCATCCCTAAGTGCCCTTGCACCCGTCCATCTGGATGCTCACCTGTTTCATCACCACCTCAGACTCCCAGTGCTGCTGCTTGTCTCTCCCTGCCCCCAACACCGGCCCACGCGGGCTGCACGGTCACCTCTCGCCGTGTCGAGGCTGCTGGCTGCCAAAGCTGCAGGCCTTGCGGGAGCTGGTCTGGTCCCTACCCTGCTGCCTCCCTCCCCTCAACACTGTCTCGGGAGCACACACACATTCTCTTGTCCTCCCTTCACACTGCTCCCCTTGCTTAGTATATCCTATTCCATCTAAAGTCAGCCCCTCCTTTAAGAGTCCAAATTATGTGGCAGAATTTTCTGTATTCACTAGTCATATTGGCTACGCTGCCCAGCTAGCAGACAGAGTCCTTAAATGTAGCACCAGCATTTACTCTTCCCACTTTAGTAAGTACGTATTTATGGAAGGCCTACAATTTAAAGACTTTCATACACAGGGAAACGATGTCTCTGCCTTCATGATGTTATTACTGGTAAAAGAAGAGCAGATGAACGACTCAACCTGTGACTGACACGACACTGTGAGGTTTTAGGGACAGGGATCTTGTCCCTTCAGATGGCTACAATGAGGGTCAAAGCACATGACATACCTGTTCATGACCAGCGTCCGTAAAATCCTGTCCCTATCTAATACCATACCAGTTTTATTTTAATCACCCAATTCCTTATTACCACAGGTAATTAAGAACCAGGAAAAATGTTGTGCAATTGATCAACAGTAAATGTTATGTCCTCAGTGACCTTCACAGGGTCCCGCACATACCATTTCCCCTCCACACTTCAGCTAAATGGCAACCGCCTTCTCCAGGTTCCTTGCAAAATTCCACAACATCTCGACATGTTGTTTCTGGTGTTATAGGAACTTCTGTTAAAATCTGTTCATTGTTGCTCAAGAACACGGTTAATATCATCTGTAAGAGAAAAGATTAAATTAAAGCTGTAACTTAGAGTCATTGTCATGAAGAGATTAATCTGTAAACTGAAAGTGATCCCCCACCCCCCACAACCACTGCCACCCACCTCTGCCCACCCCGTCCCTGCTCCCATCAAAAGTCTACAGGATCAGTTTTGGGAAATACAGAGGATTTTTTAGCCATACAAAAGATTCCTAAAATTGTTAACAAAAAACCAAAAATCTAATTTATTTTAAAAATTTGGCTAAGAAAATAATGTATCATAGTAAAAGAAAAGCAAGTGGCCCTGAAATATAAAAATACAACACAATGTATTTGAAAAAATTGAAAATAAAAATTTTCCAGCATTTTTTAACCTTTAAAACATCCTAACAATTTGATCTAAGATTTGAAGGGGTCACATTGGAAGGGATTTTAAAAATCCCCCTCCAAAACACATAACTCTTAAATTACTGTTTAAACCAAAGGTTTGCTTTTTCTCAGACAGCATTATAGAGCATTGCTGTTCAATGTTTGATCAAAATCAGCAAATAAAAATTATCCCCTAACTTTTCATCTTAAAATGCTTTTCCTTAGAAGAGCCCTAAATTCCTAAGTTTTGAGACTGAACATCTTTGTATCGATGGTCAGATTTTACTTATCAAAAACTGACCCCAGTTATGCACTGGTCTCACCCCACAGGATCCCTCCCCACTTCAGGGTGACCAGCCCCATCATGTGAAGCCAGTGACGCCACTCCCTCCCAGAAGTGCAGGTGTTCAGGAGCTCCGCACTGCTAACAGAAGCCCTTTCCCAAGACATTTTCTTCTGGAGCATAAACAAGAAACAGGTCTCTGCCGAGCACTCAGAGGCTAAGGCTGTCCTGTGCACAGACCCTGTCCTGCCTGACTCTGGGGCTCGGATTCCCACAGCACACTCTCTGAGGACACCTGGCCTGCAGGAGAAACCGCCAACTCCCTTCCTCCCTCACAGCCCCCCAGCCTTCAGTCCCAGTGTCTGCCCACACGGGACCTTGACCCCTCAGTTCCAATCCCGGTCTCCCAGGCTGTCCCTCTGCCCCCTTCCTGTTGGCCAGTAAACTCCTATTCACCCTTCAAAACACAGCTCATACGCTGCCACCTTTGCTAACCCTCCCTTCACCACCTCTCACGAGGGAGGACACTGTCTCTTCTTCTGTGACTAAGAATCTTCACGTGTGTCTTTATGACATCAGAGCATGAACACGTCTCCCGCCCCTCACTAGGCTCTCTGCTCCTTCAAGCAGCTCAGTCCCGAATCTTCCACTTCCCACCACCTCACCGACGTCTAGTGCACGGCAGGCACAAGACAGCCTGGTGTCTCCGTGAAGAACACAAAAACAAAGCCTCCGCCACACCACGGAACTGAGGGATTCTGCAGGAGCCTAAGTGACACACCGCCAGCCCGCTCAACAAACATGCACTTTTCCTTCTGTTCTTCTTAGATGCCATAAACACATTTCTATTTTATAAGAAATTAAAATTATTTCTGCTCACTAACCTATAAGAGAAACCTATATTTAAAAAAAACACGGGGCATTTGAGTATTGAAACAAACGGCCTGGAATCTGTAGAACTGGTAATGAAACAGGTAATTCCTGGATTCAGTGTGAACAAGTCCAGACTGAAAAGGCCTTCATGCTCGAAGCCCCACCAAAACGCCTGGAACACGTTTTTATTCTTGTTCACACAGTTATTTTATACTTCTTATGGCGACTATCTTCACATGTGAGCCCACAGCCTAGCTGTCCAAGACCTTGTACTTCCTCCCTTGCACCGCGCTTTCTACATCAGAAGCCCGGGAAACCACCGGAGCCCCTCCTGTACATGCATCACCTCCACTCCCTGGGCTCGCTCTGCATTCACTGCGGACCCTTGCTCCCCACCCCTGTGCCTGCTGCAGCACCGTGGCCTGTTCTCCGAACGAATGACCAGCTAGTGAGTGTCACACAATCACTTGCTTCTGGAACACCAGGCTCTGGCCAGAACCGGGCCTCACATGCTCACTCCCCGACAGGCACACAGCAGCCCTTCTTTAACACTCAGAAGGGCTCAGCTTGCACTTTCTTGTTCAGGAAAGCAGAGTTCTTCATGAACTTGCTGTCAGAATGAACAATGCATGACACTATTTTGGGGGCACTTTTTGAATTAACAAGATTTTTCAGCTCATGAAATAACTTGTCATGAATCAACATGACAGGGGAGGGAGAGAAGAAGGAGATTAGCATAGTTGTGAATCTGAACACTGATTTTTTTAAAGGTTTTTAAAAATTGACTGATTTTTTGAGTCAGGGAGAGAAATGGGGGAGGGGAGGGAGCAGAGGGAGGGAGAGGGAAACATCTAACCATCTTCTACTTATTTACACTGGGCTGGCCAAAAAGTCTGTTACATATTTTTACATCTAATGGCTCCAGCAGTGTTCAGTGTATTTAACTTCATTCAAAACAATTTGTTAGACTGCATTGTTACAGCTGTCATATCAGTGCGTATTTTTTAAAAACTTACCAAAATTGGTGAATTTTGTGCAACCATTTTAATACTGAAGATGGAAGACATGCAAAGCCTTCAGCATATCATGCTTTATTATTTCAAGAAAGGGAAAAAAGCAACTGAAATGCAAGAAAAGATTGTGCAGTGTATGGAGAAGGTGCTGTGACTGATCAAAAGTGTCAAAGTGGTTTGTGAAGTTTCTTGCTACTATTGACATTTTGGCCGAATAATTCTTTGCTGTGGAGCTGTCTTATGCATTGGAAGATGTTTAGCAGCACCCCTGGCCTCTCCCCACTAGAAGCCAATAGCCGGGGGTGGGGGGCACATAGCCGACATACTCAAAATATCCAAATCAATAGTTATTGGTGAAAGTGAAAAATGTGTCTTTTATTTTATGGAAAAAAACATATGGACTTTTTGGCCAACCCAACACATTCATTGGTTGATTCTTATCCCTGACTAGGAATCGAACCCACAACCCTCGTGTACTGAGACAACGGACTAGCTAACTGAACTACTCAGCAAGAGCACAGACACTGATTTTTAAAAACTAAGAACACCCAGAAAACTTATGCAAAGATCACTAAAACATTACTTTTTAATTCTATTCTATAGTTTTTAGTAAACCTATCTTTCCTACTCTTAGTAAAATTCATTTCCCCCAATCTCTATTATTCAACCAAAGCTAATTTCATTATAATCATGATAGATTTAAAAGCTTGAGATAAATTAAGCTGGTATTGACCTGGACAGTAGATACTTCCCTAAAGCTGGAAAGGCATGTGACTGCTACTGTTATTATAGCAAGATTTCCTTAGCTTAAAAGAAACCTGAAGAATCTCCAACACAAATATCATACAATATTGATTCTAGAAGAAGTCTGTTTATATTGTAACATCACTGAAATCATACTATATCTTACAACTGATAGCATGTCACAATTTAATGAGTAGCAGGTTTTTTCTTTCTTAATAGGACATATGAAATGGAGATGAAGCCCAACAGGGGTAAGGATTAAGTGAACTAAAAAAACAACAGAAAAGAAGTTAATGTTTAACTTTCCTAGAAGATTAATATGTTGAAAAGAAAAGATTTGTTTAACTGCAGTTAGAAAAACTGGCAGAGTTACACAATGTGCTGTAACAAGCACGTCCTGTTTATGTCTTTTCTCAGACTGCCCCCTCTGTCCTGCCCCTGCTCCTCCTCCATAATCCCCAACGCCCACCTCCTCTCAGGGCTGTTCCCTGGGGCCCTGGCTGGATAGCGCAGTTGGTTAAATTGCTGCCCCAATATACCAAGGTGGCAGGCAGGTTCAATTCCTGGTGGGGGCACATACAAGAAACAAGCAATGAATGCATCAATAAACAATAAATGAACACACAAAAAGAAGTCCTTCCTGACCCTACTGTCTACGCATCCTGGCCCGGTCAAGACAGAGGATCTTCTTCCACTCTCCTGTGATGACAGAGGGTGGCTATTTTTAGTACAACATTCTCACACTGAACTAGTAGGGCTTCTCAAGAGTGCATCCTCTCCTGGAACAGAGTTTGTGACTCATGGAAGGGAGTTGTGACCGCGTCTTGAAATCAGCTAGGTGTGTCTCCAGCTGCACATATTTTTACTTTTTAAAAAAGCCAGAAACACCCTGAATGACCATAATGCCTCCGTGGGCAGGACATGTGTTCTCTAACTCAGCACTGGAGTAAAAGGCTGGACACTCGAGGGGCAGCTCAGGAAATGAGGGGTGGGGGCTGCAGGAGGTGGCTGCATCACCGGATCAGGTAACTCCGGAGGCCACCTTATCTTTACTTCCAAGGATGTCTGAGCTATCACTCATTTAAATAATCTACATAGAGCCTTTAAAATGTTTACAACTTGGTATTGAAAGAATGTTTTTAGTCAAAGGAAATCAAAGCAAAGCAGGACGTAGGGATGCATAAGCCACTAAAAAGTAGGAACTATCTGCAAACAGAGCGGCACCGAATCGTGATGCTGCACACAATGCTATACAGAGTCATATGCCAATCACACAATGGCCCAGTGTTACATGTCAATTATCTCTCAATAAAGCTGGGGGAAAAACACCCAAAACCAAGACAAGAAAAGGAGCTATACTATTATTCAAAAATAGCAAGTGTTGATGAGGAAGAAAATATAAAATGCTACAGCCATTCCGAAAAACTGTTCAGCAGTTTCTTGAAAGGTTAAACACAGATTTACCATATAACACAGCAATTCCACTCCTAGGTACCTGCCCAAGAGAAAAAAATATCTATGTCCACACAGTCTCCTATGCAAATGTTTATGGCACCAATATTCATGGTAGCCAAAAAATGCAAACAACCAAAATGTCCATCAACTGATGAATACATGATAAAATGTGGTCTATCATACAACAGAATATTCAGCCATGAAAAGAAACAGTTCTAACACACGCTACAAACATGCATGGGCCTTGAAAACATTATGCTGGGAGAAAGTGACCACAC